CTTTGTGCTTCAGACCACTGAAATGTGGATATGAGAAAAAAGATCTATCGTTTCCACTGCGCCTATCAAATTCTCTCTTTCCAAGAATCAAAGCCATCTCCTCTGCTCATTCCATGGCCTGGACCACCACATCCTCTTCCCCCAGGACCACCATGACCTTGGATCGTCTGGTCAAGAACAGGCTTATCAAGTGAAAATTCTCCTCCTTCACCTTTTTCTCCAATCTATTTTTCAAATTGTTACTCACAAGGCAGTTGCCTTTCTGGTCTCCTATCAATTGGTTTTCCTTCACCCTGAAGTTGCTGGTCAGGCCTTCGACCAACAGAAGCCCATAGGTAATAGCAAGTGACAATGTGACTGGAAATAGGATATGTGTATCCAGCAAGGCTCTGTGAATGAAGGCAACAAGAGGAGAGAGCTCCCCTGCCAAAGCCTCAGAACAGTCAGAAAGCCCTGGGGTGGGAATCTTGGAAACCCCCAGGGAGTGGTAGTGGGCATCTACCAGTGCAGGGCCACACTTGCTCAGATTCATAATATTTTCTGTTCTGAGCCACAAAAGAGGCCTCTATAAAGACCAAGTACTCTAAACCTTAAAAGTCCAGGAGCAGCCTAATTTCGGGAGGAGAAGGGGGAGAATCAATGCAAGAGTCTAGGAGATGTAGGGTAAGACCAAGCATGGCTGAAGACCCCACACAAAGCACAGCAGGGGGACAAAGATTGGCATAAATCTCCAGTTCAGAAACAAAAACTGAAGAGATAAGTAGTTAAGGAAGACATTAGGATAAAAAATTGCTGTAGATCTAGCAATGCCCAAAAATCTAGATTAGAAGGAAAAATTGTCTGTAATAACTGCAAAGGAAAAAATGGCCTTAATTATGAAAAATTCACAAGAAATTAATCAAGAGATTAAAAAAATAAAAGCTTTTGAGAAAAGAACTGGAGAGAGGATACATAGCTTAGAAGAGAAAGCGGTAAACCTTATTCAAATAACAGACTCCCTGAAAAGCGGAAGAGCCCTAACAAAAACCAACAATTCCAAGAGCCAGCAAGAATACTAAAACAAAAAACAAAGCAAAAAAAAAAAAGATTAAAAAAATTAGAAGAAATTTTAAGGCAGCTGACATGAAAAACAACTGACTTGGAAAATAGTTCAAAAAGCCAGATTTTAAAAAGCTTTGAAACTAAATTTCAAGAAATCATACATGAAAATTTTCTACATCTATTAGAACTAGAGGGTAGAGTAAAGACAAAAAGAATCTACTGATCACTTCCTGAAATTCCAAAAGGAAAACCCACAGGAATGTCACAACCAAAATCCAGAATTTCCATGTCCAAGAAAAGATACTGCAAGCATCCAGAAAGAAGATCAAACAAGATTTGGTGGCTTCAATTATAAATGAAAGAAAATTTTATAATACGACATTCCAGAAGGCAAAGAATATAAATACATAACCAAGAATAATATGTCCCAAAATAGAGAACTTTCAAGCCCTTAGGAAAAAACACTGGAGAATCTGAGAGCGGACTGTGTGCCCTGAGGGCTTGAAAATGAGAAGGAAAAGGAAGGGGACAAGGAACACAGTATAAAAAGTGATGAGAAGAGTATACAAACATGGAGGGGGCATCAGGTACACCTTACTTTTATCTGAAATGGACAAAAGAGGCTAGAACAAACATGACACACACACACACACACACACACAGAGTTTGGTATAGACACATATCAAACTCAACAGGTAAGCAAGACGGAATGGGAAGTGGGAGGTTAAGAGGGAATGGTCAGAAACAAATCAAACATTCTGATCCTGATGTAGGTAGGGATTAAAAGGGAGAAAAAAAGAAAAGAAAAGAACTAGAATCAACTGAGCAAGGGCTGAACAAACTGTGGTACAAGAATGTAATGGAAAATTACTGTGCCATAAGAAATGATTAGATGATTTCAGAGAATCCTGGGTAGCATGAACTGATGCAGAGTGAAGTGAGCAGAACCAAGAGAACAATTTATACGTGGAGAATAATACTATAAAGAAAAACAACCAAAAAGACTTCAGAACTCTGATGAGTGATCAACTTATGTCTCCAGAGGACAAATGATAAATCATGTAGCCTACCTCTTGACAGCAATGTGAAGGTCACAAGGCATAAAAAAAGACCTTCATTTTCAGACATGGCTATTAAGTGGATTCATTCTGTTTAATGACACTTATCTGCAGGTTTGGTTTTTTTTCCCTCTCTGCTTTTTTTTTGGGGGGGTGGGGATGGGAAGAGGGAAGGTTACTAATAGTAATATGAAAGGACATTGAAACTTTTTTTAACTTACAGAAGAGAACAGAAGTAAACAAAGACAAACAGTCAAGTTTTAAAAGTAGTGTACAGTACCTATTAGCTCCTTTTTTGGGAAAAAAAGCAGAGGATATGAAATGGAGATTCATGGTTCCATACACCATATTGTTTTCTATGACTTGCTCTCTACATAAAAAAGGGTTTTTTTTCTTTAAGTTCAAAATTAAACAATTAAAATTTTAAAATACTTAAAAAGCACTTTCTCCACATCTGTGTAGTAGGCAGTATTATTCTATTTTATATATGAGAAAACTCAGGTTTACAGAACTCAGGAAACATCATCATACATCTAATAAATAGCAGCATCAGAACTCCAATTTTAATTTTCTGATTCTCCAGTCAAGTACTATTTCCATTCTATTATGTGTACTCTACTATGCAAGGTTGAGGCTTTGCAAAATAACTTGCTCTCTTTCCCATAAAACAAATAACAATATTTTAATCAACTAGCTTTGAAAGGTATTTTTCTTTAAATTTCCTTTCCTCTCTTTTTTTCAGACCAGGGGTTGAGGGGAGAGAAGGATAGGAGTCCCTAAGGGTGTCAGCAGAAGTATCTGATTTTTAAGATACGAAAAGGGTCATGGGGAGCAAGGTAGCTTTGGGGTAAGGTAGAAGATTATTTCTATGGGAACAGTTGGGGAGAACACAGGAAAAGATCAGGGTACAAATTACAAAGTCAGACTCGGTGGTGGCCTGCAGTGACACAGCTGGTAAGCTCTTATATGCTAAGACTATGATTGCCTAAGGTATCATTCCTACAGAAATCTCTCTCATTACAAGAAAGAAATTCCTCATGTTTGTTTATTGCTTTTTTTCTTCCTCAAATTTTAATTAAAGGATAGAGATCAAGTCAGGACAATCTCTGTATCATTCTTTTTCCCAAAAGACCTGCTAGAATGAAGAATGGGTCAATGAAGAAATGAAAATAAATTATATATACATTTATCAGCAAACCTTAAAATTTAAGCAGACAGAAGATGGAGGACACCTCAAATGTCATTCACTGAAACATTTATTAAACACCTATCACATATACAATTCTTCCTAGCTAGGGGCTGAGAAAGATTAAAAAAAAAATCTATAGATTTCCTGATTCCTGCCATCGAGGAGCTTACCACCTAAAGAAGAAAGGTAAAACATAAAGACAAATGCATTTTTGCTTGTTCAGTCATTTTCAGTTGGTCTGACTCTTCATGAGCCCATTTGTGGTTTTCTTGGCAAAGATAGTGGAGTGGTTTGTCATTTCCTTCTCCAGCTTATTTTACAGAGGAGGAAACTGAGGCAAACAAGGTGACATGACTTGCCCAACATCACATAGCTAGTATCTCAGGCCAGACTTGAACTGTGTGGAATATGAGTCTTCTTGACTCCAGGCCTGGCATTCTACCCAGTGTGCTACCTAGCTGCCCCTAGATAAATACAATACCTATTTCAACCAGATAAATAACAAACACAAATACAATATATATTTGAACCTGATAAATATGATACAAATCAGAATGATTCTGATCCATAAGATCTTCACTAAAATCATCTTCTGATGTCTTACTGTAGTGTGGGGATGACAGGATTCTCAGAGGTCTGGCAGGCTCTACAAAGCTGGAAAGGCACTAAATTCAATCCTTAAGACAGATGAGTGCGTAGTTTTTGTTATGATAATCAGCCCTATCAAATCTGGAGGGGATCATTCCCAGAAAATGGGTCACTAGCAATTAATGGTTTTCACCAAAGCAACTACCCATATTGATGCAACGACAGATTTCTGAAGCGTAAAAGTACTAGAAAAGAGCATCGGTAGAGCCCAAAGTGCTAAGAGATCAGACGAAGGAGAGATCTCTTTCAGCCAATAGGTAGAACATGAACTATATGAATACTAAGGTCTCTTTCAGCTCTGATATACTGAGATTCTATAATAATGTCTGGGTAAAACTGTAGAGGACAGAAAATTTCACAGCTTTCTCAGAAAGATTCAAGAATGGGATGAGTAAAGGTACCACAGAACACGTTCAAGTGGGCCATTCTCAGTACGGTGGGAAGGATGAAAAGGAGGCACAGCGTCAGGAAATGGACCCTAGGGCCTGGAGTCAAATGAGAAGGAGTTGAGGCCCCGCTCTGCCACTTAGTTGCCGAATGATCCTGAACAACTCATTTGACCTCTTTGGGACTCAACGTCCTCATCTTTAAAACGAGTGAGCTGAGCTCACAGTCTCTTCCTAATCTAACATTTAGAGGTTCTGTTTGTTTCAGGTGGGGAGGAGTGAGAGCACTAGAGCAAGCACAACTAGCTAGCGCAAGGATAAAAAGTGAAAACGGTGACCCACAGGAGTCTTGCTGTACAACCCTTTAAAGACGGCAGGTACAACCAACGGAAAAGCCCTGCTCCAAGTCCAGCTGGAGTAGAGGATTTCTGCTTCCCAACAGAGCAGGCTTTTCACAACTCCTCTGATCCTATTACATGACCTCAATGTTCCAGATCCTCTTTTATCCTAATTCAGCTAAGTCCCTTTGCTTTCCTGTTCGAAAACATACCCCTTCTTTTCTCTGGTCTTGAGGAAGAACACAGGGCTTCACTTCTCCCATTCCTCCAAGCATCAGATAAGCTCCAAGAGCTGCTGCCTTTCAATAATACACTGAAGACAAAGGGGACGTTTTCTTACCTGTAGGAGATCTTCATTAAGGACTTCTGTTTTTTCAGCTCTGTGGGGAGAAGAAAAAGTAGTTTAGAGACAGGAATAAAAATGACAACTCCCCCAAATTTCAAACATTCGGGGGATTTCAAACAAAGTGGTTAAAGAGGCATGGAGCATAGAGAAATGCAGCCATCCTTGGTATCACAGAAGGAATTGAGGGGATTATCTAGTTATGCCACCTGAGGCAAGCATCCCCTCCAAAATATCCCTGACAAATGGTCTTTCCTCCAGAGCTGGGGGCCTCATTATTTTAAGAAGCCTCAAGTTGAGCAACTTTTACTATTCCTAAAAAGCAGCTCAGCGTGGAGGAAGGGAACCCCTATGCAACTGAAAGTTTGAACTTTAAATCCCTGTTCTCCAAGTGTTAGATCTTTCTTTTCTAGAAGAGTTCAACTTACAAATAGCATGCAGTGATAGCTCTTCTTCCATGTAATGTATATGCAAAATATAAACCTCTTAGCACTTGTCATACCATACTTCCTCCAGAATTCCCTCCTTTTTCCACCCAAACTTCCACTTTAAAAAAAAATCAACAATAATGTTTACTCTTCATAATTAACCCCCTTCTCAGCTTAAAAACAATTTCTAGCAAGTGCTTCAGCCCTCAAAAACCTTCCCTTGACTGTGGGAGTTGTAACAAGGGTGGAACACTCAGAGCTTTTACCAACATGCTAAAATTCAGAGGGAGCCAACAGACTTTTTTTTCCAGCAGATTATTAACATTATTATAATAATGGCTGGTTTTTATATAGCACTTTAAATTTTACAAAGAATTTCATATATGCTATCATATTTGAACCTTACAATAAATCTTGAGGTAAGTGTTACCAGTCCTCTTTTACAGATGAGGAAACTGAAATCAGAAAAGTTAAATGACCTGTTCACAGCTAGCAAGTACCTACAACAGGATTCAAAACCAAGTCAACACTTAGCACCCAGATAACAAGAATTATCAGTGTTCAAGGCTAGATTGGAACCCAGGTCTTCCTCCAACTCCAGAATTTTATCCATTGTGCCCTACTGTTTCTCAAGCCGCAGAGGAGCACCCATGTTAGAGGTGAAAGAGATTACCCTATTGTCAGAAATCATCTAATATCTCCCACAGTTTACAGAGGATAAATCCAATGCCTAGAGAGAGGTGGTTTGCTTAAGAGTCAGGAGTAGTGACCCCATTAGCCTTCGACGCAACGTTTGAAGAATCATCATTTAAAAAAATAAAATTAGAGCATCTGAGCTTTGTTCCCTCTCCCTGGAATACCTTCACCCATTAAGTAAAACCTATCCATCCATCAAGGTGCAAATCCCAAATCCCAACTCCTCCATTCAGCCACCTCTGATCACACAAACCCCACCAATCCCTCCCTTTTTTGTACTCCGATTGCACTTATCATACATTTTTGGGACTTGAGGCTATCTATACTTTGTTGTTTTCTAATTGCTTTGGGTATCTTATCAGGTATCCCCAATTATGCCTGCTGCACCTTACAGAAGGGACCATGCTCTCCAATTCTCTCATCCTGGAGCACCCAGAACAGTACTGAATATAGAACAGGTACTCAGTAAAGAAGTGTCAATATGAAAGGAGAAGTAGGTGACAGCTGCAAAGAGGACAACTCAGGCTTGAGGTAAGAAAAAAAGATCCTAAGCATTAGAACTATCTAAAAGGCATGTAATGGGCAGCCCTGAGAGGTGAGTGACAGTCTATTTCATCCTGGAGCAGGAGGTCTTCAAGCAGAGCTCAGGCAGCAACTCCTTGTCAGGTGCATTACGAGGGAATTCTTCTGGTCTGTGTGTTGGACTTAATGGCTGCTGAGGTCTCTTTCAATTCTCCGCTGTTATGATTCTGTGATAATTGTTGAGCAAAGGTATTAGAAAAATCTCTTCTCTGAAGAGATCTCTCCAGGCTCCTCAATCACCCCATGTTTGTGAATGTTCTCTGAAGAGTGAGAAAAATCATAGTGCAGAAGGGCTTTGAGGAAGTCTCTGGGCAAGTCATTCCACCTATCCTGGAACCAAGGTTTCCTCTGTAATATGAAGGGGTCCATCTAGTTCTAAAATTCTACGTTTTGTTCTCCAAGTTATAAAGCATAATAAAGACCTAAAGACTTAATATTTCTGTCAGTTTGAGGAACTTAGTGGAAGACACTGTTGTAAAACAGAAAGTATGGCTGGATTTGGAGTCAAGGGACCTAGGTTCTAATTCCAGTTTTACTACTGTGTGACCTCGGAGAAGTCATTCCAGTTCTCTGGGCCTAAAATTTTCCTCTGTAAAATAAAAGGACTAGAATAGATAATGAATCCTGAGTTCCTTTCTAATTCTAAGTCTATAAACCAAGAAGCAAGGCATGTATACCTGGTTTGTACATGTACAAGCCCTGAGAGATTCCCTTCTGCAATCCCTGTCCAGGAGAACATATACACCACCATCAACACACTCCCAAATTTCCTCCAATTCTGCTCTTGACATCTTCTTCCTGATCCGCTTCCGTCAGCCATCTGTTTCCATGGGCATTGTTGCTACCTTAGTTCAGACATTTCTCTGAACTATCAGTGCTCAGACTTTTGGATCTTAAGACACATCTGAACTCATAAAAATTACTGAGGACCCCAAAGAGCCTTCATACACATAGGTTATATCTATCAAAATTTACTTTTTTAGAAATTAAAATGGATAAAACTTTAAAGTGGTTATTTATTAGTTCATCAAAAATAACAATAAAACCATGACATGTTAACATAAGTTAACATTTTTATGAAAAATAACTATTTTCCAAAACAAAAAAAAAATTCAGTGAGAAGAATGAAGTCTTATAGAGTTTGCTTATCTCTCTCTCTGCCTTAATAGAAGACAGATGGATTCTCATATGTTTCTGCATTCAATCAGTTGTGGTATGTTGCTTTGGTTGAAATATGTGCAGAAAATCTGGCCTTATATGCATATTTCTTTGAAACAAGGAAGAGTATTTTAAGAAACAAATAACATTATAGCATTACTATGAAAGTATTTTACCTCTTGGACCCCTGAAAAGGTCTCAGAGTCCCAGGGTCGGTGGACCACATTATGACAACTGATGCAATAGAGTGATAGGTCTTTCGGTCTCCAGTCTGCTCACCTCTCCAATTCACAGTCACAACCCCACCAAATTTGGCTTCCTGGTATAACCTACCTCTATTGACATTAATCCTCTTTTCAAAATACTATCAATTCTCTATTGCTTACCACTTAAAATTCAAACTTTCAGAGTGACACTCAAGACTCCATAATCCAGCTCCAAATTACCTGGCTAGCCTTTTCTCTTCTCACAATTCCTGTTGGCTTACTTTACGGTTTGCCTGGAGTGAATTATTCTCTACTCCCTGATTATGTGTATCAGCACTTTTCCTACCTCTGTTCTTTTGCCCACAGTTTCCTATGCAAAGAATTTCCATCTTCCATTTTTGTATGTTGACTACCTACCCATCCTTCAAATCCCAGCTCAAATGCTACCCCCTCTGATCCTCCCAGATGGACAGCAATTTCTCCCTCATCTGTTCTCAGTGCACTTTATAGACCCGCTAATCAACGTCTATAGTATATTAATGTAAGGACCATTTCTCCCTCCTAAAGCGAGTTCCTTGGGACCACCTGTCTTTCTATCTCCTTCATTGCTTGAAACAGTAGACTGTGCATTCTAAGATGTAACACAATTGTTGGATAGATGTTGTTGAACGAAGACCTACCCTTTCATTCCCAAACGGTCAAAAGACGTGATCTCTTGAGTCAGAAGGGAAAATGAATTCCAAAAATAAAGGAACTTAAAAAAACTAAACATACTCTCACATTTTACAGGGAACACTTGCAAATGCTGATTGAACTACTGTTTTTATTTCTTAACACACACACACATATATATGCATAGCTGCAGTTTAGACCTGACTTCAACTCCTTAGAAGGACCCAAGATTTCACTGATGTGGATGAACCTTTAACTAACTCAAGACAGCATCTCCTCTAAGCCTTAACAGATAGTGTCCATGAGTGAATCTGTCACTAAGGAGCCAATGTATTAGTCAAAAACCTCTACATAATTAAGTAGGATGGTCACCGAGTAACAGAAACAGATCATGCCCAGGCACGCATGTACATGGTATGTTTTCAAGTGGGCAGGATCTACCAGAGCGTGGGCCCCACTCACATGGCCCTCCTAGTATGAAGAACACCACCAGCCACGGCACAGAGGCAGGAGAACACAGGATATGCAGAGGAGATGGCAAAAAGACCTGTTAGGTGGAGTTTAATGAGTGCAAGGGATTGGTACTGTGGACAGAGCAGGTAAAGCCAAGACACGCAGAGTCTGAGCAGTCTGAAACTCATTTGGCAGGCCACAGGAAGTCACCAGAGGCAGAACAGCCTAGGAAGGAAATCGGGCACATGTGTAAAAGCCACAACACCTGTTCTGAGGATATTAAATGATATCAGTGAGCTCATATGAAAAAATGGAAATAACACAAGATTACCATGACCCCTGCACAAGAATGTCACAAAACCAAACAGGCAGATAGTGAGGAGGGCCTGTACTAGGACAGGAAAAATGGGACTACAGAGGAAAGGACGGAGAGACAGCAGAGGCAGAAGTGATATCGAGTATGATGATACACAGTATGGAAAGAAGGCACTGAACCTGGAATCAGGGAAACCTGGGTTCAGATTCCACCTTAGATACTTGGTAAGCTATGTGACATAAATAAGTCATTTAACCTCTGTGCCTCAGTTTCCTCATATGTCAAATGAGGGAGCTGAACTAGATGGTCTTTGGATCTGAACAGATCTTCCTTCCAGATTTAAATGGATCATCTTATGATGCTATAAGCAACACAACTTAGTCACTGCTTACATATCTGAGGCATAGAAGTAAAGGAAACAAACAGAGACAATGGTGGCCTATCACGAGGAAAGCAATCTGTGTTTCAGACCAGTCATATGACTGCAATTCTGGGAAGTTCTGCAAGGCTTGGGGACTGGATGGTG